TAAAGTCACCACCTATCCTGGGGTCACAGTGAAGGACAAAGTGCGTCAGAATAGAACCTTACAAAGCACACGGTGTGTACATTATATACGAGGGTATATTATAACTAAGTAAACTTACAAGGAAGTTACTAAAACTCTTGGCAAAAAACCTCTACATAATGAAACATTTCCTGTCCAACATGTCCTGTCATATACTTCATTTTATACGAAGTATGGAAGATACTTCTTTAAATAATATAAAATGAAGTCGCATTTTCTTTTCAAGCTGTACGCTTAGATCCTTTAAATTACGCAACGGATTTAAATGCAGTTTTCACCTATAGAGATATTAATTTAAGAGGCGAGGCGATATTTTTTATATTATAGTAGAGGAAATCCGAAAATTACAAAGATTGGTAATGTAAATTCCTAAACAACATGCTTTCGTATGCTTACCTTGCCAAGAGTGGTTAAACGTTATGATATAGATCTAAATTGCCTTTTCCAGCATATCATTAAAATGAATATCTGAGATATCAGAGATTTTAAATGCAGGAGCAAAGCGGCCTTTGCCCCGTCGGACGTCCGTCCCGGGTGGCAGCGGCTGGTAGGAGTGGAGCGGGCCTATAAATATTGTCTATAATGCTGTCCTATCGTATAGACTTGTCATAATAATAGTATAATTATTTACTTCACACTGACATTACACCACATTAGTAATATTGGTACTTAGTATCTGCATTGTACCCGTGTATTATAAATGTAAAATGTTGGAAAATAGTGTGTTTTTTGTTAAGCTTTTACGTCTAAACCACTAAACCGATTTTAAAAATTATTTCGCCATAGGTAAGCTACTTACCGCGATATATAGATAGATACATTCGGGCGGAGCCACGAGAAAAAGCTAGTACGTTCATAAATAACGGACGAAGCTAACAAACATAAAAAAATACTACCAAAATGAGAATAAAGAATAAAATAAGAATGAGAATAAATAAACTAATTCCCCAAACATGGGCATGCACATTCCGCGAAAGAGAGAGATAACACTTCACGTAACTCGCAACGCTAGTTACCTAACAATACAAAGAGTATAAGAGTTTGCAAATATTTTGCAATGCTTATGTCACCCCTGGTCCCACAAGGGTTGTTTCGTGAGTCCCGCGATACAAACAGCCCTATTCTGCATTCTTTAAGTAACCTATTTCGATTTTCGTGGATCTTTACTGAGGCTACGTTAAAGTTACCTTTTATTTTTTTTTTATAAAAAATAAAAAGTAAGCCTAAAAAAGTAATTAGAAATCACGGTACATGTTTACATGGCATAGGTTTACAATTGATTATTCATGTTAAATATAAAACACATGTAATGAATCATACTTTATATTTGAAGATATGTATGTTAAGGTTTTTGGTTTAGGTAGTAGAACGTTAGGTATATACACAGTGCTGTCATCTGTATTAATGCGCTACTGCGCGAGAGAGAGAGAGAGAGAGATAATTTCCAAGCCTCTTTAGTATCAGTTTGACTGCCAAGAGTTTTTCTTTGGTATGATTAGAGGTGACAAATTCAAATTTAAATAAAACATTTAAATTAGGATCTTCAAGAGACACTTTTAAATGCACCTATTTTTTACTAAAATTTTCACTACCAAGTATGTATAAGTACATTATGGTAAGTAGGTACCTGCTGTTGACCTAAAATCATGAAATTTGATAGGTATTAAAGTTTTAAAGCACAATTACCCAAAAATCTTTCATTTGTAGATAACAAAATGAATGACAAAATATTAGTAACTCTAATCAACTATCCAAATTATTTAGTACTGCACCCTCACAAACATTTAGTGCTATTGTCTCTTTTTTGAAATTTATAACATTTTTGTGTATTTTACCCGTTGATGTTGGACTGTACGGATAGCGTAGTGGTTTAAGGGGTCGCCACGCCGCTTCCTACTACGCTGAGTGTTGTAGGTTCGATCCCCACATTTGTGGGACACCACTTTCACACCACAAAATTGTTCTTCTGAGGCTGGGTGGTCTTTGTGCCCGATTCATGTATGTTTGTAAAGTCCTTCGCGACACAGGATATATATTCCTAATGCGGGAGTGGTCTTTTAAAAAAACTACTAAACCTCAGTATAAACCCCTTCTTTTGGGGTAGTCTATTACAAATACCCAGTAAAATTCGTGACACTTGATAAAACAAGTATTCTGCAAAAACTGTTCATAAAATGAAAAGATAATATTGTAGAACTTTGTAAGATTTCTGATAGGGACCAGAATAAGCCTCCTCAAAGGTTTATAGGAGGACAGACCGCGGACAATCCGTATATCTGTTTTGATTAAATTTCGACAGGGAAATGTAGATTGTTTCTTTTATGAACCGCGGGGAGATATTGGACTGGACTCATTTTCTATATTTTTATGGATGACCTCATTTTACTTCGTTCCAGAGTAATGGATGTGGCAACTTGCATTTAGTTTTATTTGTTTCCTCCAAATAGGTATATACTACTGATAACATGACAGGGTTTCTTAGTGCAGGTCCTAGTCTTCCACTGTTTCGAGTTTCCTTTGTGAGATACGAAAAATATTTATTTTTTATTATCATTGTATATTTTGTACTAATAAGCCATCAATAGAATAAGTTTTACTGTGATTCAGAGGAGGAATAGAAACATCACGTTCAAATACATCTGTAACACGTTAAAAAACCCATTTTTGATTTTATCTGTTTTATCTTTTTATTAAAATATATTCAAATGTAATTTATTCAAGTACCCTGGGTATATGATATTCTATTTATGCTATTTTCTTCATAAAATCACAATTTTAATTTCTGTGCATCTACCATTTTTTTAGCTCTGCATCGCCCTAAGTTCGACTGGGAGAAAATGCCTACGGCATTAAGTCCACTTTTGTCACATTTGCGCATAAAGCATAAATAAATAAAAATGAAATAAATTATGCACATGAGCTACCTAAATATTTTCAAGGAACATTTTCCGATTTATGTAAATTATGTTTACAAAAGTGACTGTTATACCTAACAATTAGATTTTATTTCTATAACTCCATTTTATTATTAAATGATGCCTTACTAGTTTCAAATAGGTTATGTTTATAATAAATTACTAAATATTAATTACTGTTACTGTTTACTATTAAAATATCTACTGCTTAAAGAAAGAGTCACTTTAAAATATGGAAGCCGAAGCAATGTGTAAATTACGCACTCAAAAACCAGATGGAGTTAGTAGTAGTTTTCCTCCAAATTTCGTTTAATTACGGTATTAGATTAAAATGCGAAATGTGTTTTAATGACGTTTAAATTATAGCAAGGATATTCAAATTTCGAATGAAAAAAAAGGATACATAAATAGACACCACGGCAAACGAACTAGGTATCTACTCGCTCTCAAATAAAGCCTGCGTCTAGTGAACTATGGCCGAGTGATAATGAATGAGTAATGGTAGGCTACGGAGCGGAAACAGAGCAGCAATCGTATGGCATTTGGAGATATAATAACCATGTTTCTCCACCGTATATCAAGGGAATTAAAATCATATTTACTCTTACTCAATTACAAGAACTAATTAAACAGGTATACATATATTGAGGTATGTGAGTGAATAAAAAGGGATATTATACACCCATATTTTGACATAAATAAATTTTAGTTCTACTAATGTGATAGGTAGCAATAATAATTTAATATTTTGGACATCTAACACACAACGCCATCTAGCTTCAAACTAAGTAGAGCATATGCTGCCACTGCACCACTGAGGCAGTCATGTTGTCGCCAATTGGGTACTAGGAATCAGATGTGAGAGTTTCTTGATAGGGATGGTAGATGAGAAGGGAAGACAATAGTAAGTTAGACTTATTAGCTTGAGTGTTTCAGAAAGTCCGAACACTGTGCCCTTTATGTAGCATAACTTTAACGGGCCTGTTTGTCTAGTGGTTAGTAACCCTGACTGCTCAACTGGAGGTCGAGGGTTCGATTCCCACACAGAGCAAACATTGTGTGATGAGCACGATCATTTGTTCTGTGTCTGGGTGTATTTTATCTATAACAAGTTTTTGCTCGGGACCTCGTCCGCGTGGTGGTCGGAACAGTCAAACGACGAAATTTTCACATCGGTTTTTATATTTTAAAGTGACTATCTTTATGCAGTAATTTGTTTTAATAGTAAACAGTCATTAAAGTTTTAAATATAGGCACTGCCTAGTTTGAGATCAGACTGTTGTGTGTAAGATGTGTGTTAGTTGTGAGAAGTTTTTTTTTTTTTAAAAGACAACGCCTGCATTAAGAATATATATTCCTGTGTCGCGAGGGACTTTCCAAACATACATGAAACGGACACAAAGAACACCCAGACTCAGAACAACAATTTGTGGATCACACAAAGTATCGTCCCATGTGGGGTTTGAACCCACAACACTCGGCGAAGTGGGAAGCGGCGTGGCGACCACTTAAACCACTACCCCATCCGTGCAGTCGATTATAATTTTCATTCATAAAAAAATCCTTAAATTTAAATTTCTTCACAAATATTTATTCTTTAAAGTATAACGTTACATAAATTTAATATAAGTTCGTAACTGCACTACTAAGTTTAACGATAACGTACTTAGAAAGCAAAACCCAAATAAAACATCTTTGCGCTTGAGGAACTACGGCGTCAAGGCCAAATCAAACCACGGCTATACTACCCAACTATTCAGTAAACTCAGCCGTTACCAAATGATATATTTGTTGTACAAATTGAACAATGTATCATATATCAATAAAATGTTTAATTACTGTCAATTGCACTATCGTCACGCCGTCTGTGCAAATCACAATGAAATTTAATTTGTATTCTCAATAATCGGTTTAACGGTTCAACGATTGCTGCATTCTTGTCCCTGAAGCTGTTGCTCAGATTTCATTACCCAACAATTTCCTCAGCACCAAACAAACTATAAATAGAGCAAACAACAAACCGATCAGCACAGACAATCTAACAACATGAAGATATTGTTAGCGGTAGCAGTTCTCTGCCTAGCGGCAGCTTATGGTAGGGAGTTAGGTGAAGAAGAAAAGGATCTCGTTGCTGCAGCTAGTGGTAAGAGCAGTCACCACGAAGAAGGTGGCGGTAAGGAACATCATGCTCATCATCACCATGAACATGGTGAAAAAGGACACAAAGGCCACAAAGGACATCATCACCATCACAAGGGTGAGCACGGCGACCATGGTAAACACCATCATGAAGGACATCACCACGAACACGGTGGTCACCACAAGAAACATCATGATGAACACGAACATCATGGTCATCATCACGAGCATGGTCATCACCACAAAGGCGGTAAACACGGTGGTCACAAACACCACGACAAAGGAGAAAAGACTGACGGGTACCATAAGAAATATCACAAGGACGAGTTCCACAAGGATCATCACTTTTACGATGATCATCACAAAGAAGGTAAACATCACAAGCATGGCAAACATCACGGACATCACGAACATAAAGGAGGAGACCATAAAAAGGGAGGTCATCATGAACATGGTCATCATGAGCATCATCATGGCAAGCATGGCCATCATGACAAGCATCATCACGATGAGGATCATCATGGACACAAGGGTCATCACGGCCATGAGGAACATCATCATCATCATCATGATCACGGCAAGAAAGGTGGTCACAAGGACCATAAAGACTGGGGATACCACCACGGCAAACATTAAGACTCGCCAAATATATCTGTGATATTATTGTTAACTTTTGTTACGGGTTTTTATTAGTTTTTTATAAATTATATTTTAAGCTCTGTTACAGAAATGTTAAATAAAAATGTTGAATAAAGTTTTTTGTTTTTATAGAACTGTATTATCAGTTTTTATTGTAATGGATATTAACTTTTCACTTGACAATTGACAAGTCTTTTTTTTTATGAGTTACAGGATATATTCGTAATGCGGGAGTTTTATAAAAATAAAAAAGAGAAATATTTTTTTTTATCTTATTTTAAATTTGATGTAAACACGAGATAAATTACTTCTTATGTGAGCTAATAAAAAAAAAGTCATAAAATTCCTTCACATCAACATCTACTAAGACGTGACATTTGCAAAATTGTAGTTATTATACCATAAAGCCATTAAACAAAAGTTGAAGTTGAACAACTACTAGTAGCGTACGTTAACAATTTAAAAGTTACCGAGTTAGTTGAGGTAGATAGGCATATAAAAAAAAATGTAATGAAATACAAAAAGGCCTTTGTACCTAATATTCAGATAAAATAACATTGCAAAGAAACTTTAGACAACAAAATGATACGAGTACGTTTAAATATATTATTTCAGATGATAAAAGATCTCTTCTCGTGTCCAGCTGAGTGTGGTTGCACTGACAGAAAGCGTAAATATAAAAATAATAGTTTAGAAATGTAAGACTAAACTTAACTCATATAAATTCTATTAATAAATTGAATCCTGTAAGTTTCTAAATGGAATCTAAGAAACCTTCAGCGAAAACTTGCGAAAATATAAAGTTATGAGACGAAAAAGACGTGTTACGTATTTATAATTTGACAATTAGAATCACAATTGTAATTAATTAATTTACAAAATAATGTATCTGCTGTATGATCTGAATTCTTGAACCTATATACCTACACGGTGGTTCTATGGTCGTTTTTAAACAGAACATTCTAAAATGTATATGAACGTCATTTACTATTTACACCATGTATAGTGCGGTAGTCACTTTCCGTCAAATCAGATTCCTTATCAAAAGAATATATTTAAATATTTTTGACCATATTCACGCAACGGCATGGTTTCCCAAACTAATCCGAGCGATACACAAACTACTACGCCATCCGGCCGAATACAGTAATATATTATTACTGAGGAGTATTTCTAACACCACCGCGCCATTGTTACTATAACAAAACTCTTTAAATGACACAATTTGTATTAAGCAATTGCTTAAGACAATAAAAAATCGCTGTCAGTGACACCACAACTCAAAAGTAATAATAACAGGGTCGACCAGCAAGTTTGCCCATTTGCCGGCAGTAACTGCTAATGTTTGACCCTAACACGATGACTTAGTACATACTTCATACTACTTAGTATATTTACGAGTGCAGTGATTTTGCCACTGTTTCATAAATACTACACAGGTTTCTTGGACGATTTACAGGATATATTATTAAATTAAACACAATTTTATAACAGTGTATTCAGCGACCTGCGCCGACTTCACGCTGGTGTAATTTAGAAATAGGTCAGGTGTCAATTTATTTTCAACGAGGCAGGTAGAAAAAACTGTATTAGGTTTTATTATGTAATTAAACGTCTTTAATTTATGGTCACACCTGCATCAAAATCCGCCGTAAACAGAGACGCGCGTAAAGCGACTTTATTTTATACTATACTAGCTGGTACCCGCCACTTCGTTCACGTGGAATTTGAAAAGCGATACCTTAGTGGTACGATACGCGACTGCAGTCCATGAGGCCTCGGATCCCATTCCCGACCCGGGCAAAATTTTTCAGACAGCTACCTTGTAAAATATTATTAAAATCGGTCCAGCCGTTTTGAAGATTACCCGGAACATATAGACAGACAAAGTATTTAAACATGTTTTTAGGAATAGGTATCGTGCAAATAACCGTGTCAACATGAAAATCTATTATCTTGACATTACAAACAGACACTTCAATTTATTTATTTGTATAGATAAACTATGTTAAACGAAGTGGGACGCGTTTACTTCTCTACAAACAATGGTTTTAACAATGGGCGGTAAAACCAACTGAAACTTCACCATTAGTGGTTATTTCAAAATAGAAAGTGTACTACTTTGGCATGTATGCCGGCCGGCTCGACCGGATTGACACCGCGACCGGTGTTTAACAATGCTTCTAGGGCCTTTCTTCCAGCTGGTAACTGTATTTATTAGTTTATCTTACTTTTATACTCGTATATTGATTGAACACAGAAAACCTTTATGCCCGTTAGCTTTGATTGTCATTCAACTACACTTTTATAAATCTTTGCAGCTGACTATCCAGTATTCATTGCCTTATAAAAATGCAAATGACAAAATAGACAAAGGAAATGACGTAGAGTCTAGAAACACAGATCTCAATTTTTTTTCATATTGCTTTAATTATACATATAAATTACTGACTGACTGATTCATTAACGCAGAGCCTGAGCCTAAGCTACAAACTTGAAATTTTGGAAGCCGATGCTTTGTATCTTATACGAGTAATCACCCACTAAGATTTTTTTGAAATTTTAACACTGAGGGGTAAAATAAAAGATGAACGGTTGTATAAAAGTTCGCAATTTTCGAAGTTAGAAATATAAATACAGATCACTGTTATGCAGTATCTTGTTTCCTTTTTGTCAAGAAACTGCAACAATTTTCATAATTCAATATTCAGTGATCGGAACGTACGAAAAAAAAATTGAACCGTTTCTTGTTACAATTTAAGCATGGAGACAGAATCCAACATGTCAAAGTGAATTCTCTCCTAGAACTTAAAGAAATGTTACGTTCTAAATGTATTGAGCACTTGAGGCAAGAGTCTTTCCATCCAATAACTTTAAGCGGTTGGTGTACGTCAATAATTTATCATTTTCCAGTTTACTTTGGCACTTGTGATACTTACAAGCTTAGTTCTTGAATGAAGCTGAAGAGAATTGAAGGATTGCCAATGTGTTTAAATACTTAAACAAATTTTGATCGCATCACGTTTAAAAATTTACCTTTTTACACGCTTAATATTTTAGCTTCACTTGTTTGTTTGTATGTTTGTTTGTAACCGACTCCTTTGGGCGTGATTTTGACTGACTTTAAACGGTCAGAATTCGTTCAAACTTTGTAGATATATCAAGGACCGATGACAATACACTAATTTAAAAAAATAGCTTTAATAAACTAAAAAACACTTTTTATAGAAAACCAAACTAAAAAATAGAAAATAAATTTTAACAAATTTGAAAAATAGCGTTGGGTGCTATTTACTATTGACATCAGGCACCCAACGCTTTTTTTAGCCTGGAGCCTGGAAGGAAGTCTATTATATTTTGATAAAAGTCCCCCTTTGGGTTCATAACTACTTTCCGAAACTCACATTTGGGAAAAGCAGTGATGGGTTATTGAATTAAGCTGAAGGGAATTGACGTATCTCATCACGTTTAAAAATTCAAATTTTTAAACGTTATGCGTGTATTTTTCGGCATTTCTCTTTCAAATTTTCAAAATAAAGGTATTTCCTCTATATTTACAATAAAGCAAACCATTAAAAAAACCGGTCAGGTACGTGTCAAACTCGTGCGCCGAGGGTTCCGTACCTACCCAGATTTTACGTAGATTATCGCGAAAATTTGTAAGTACCAAAACTTATCTTAATTTTCAACTTTTTTATTTTTTGGAATTATTCCTTTATTTGTGCTGTAAGACGTTTCTTTTTGCCAAATTTGTGATCCTAGGTCAACGGAGGGACACACGGACCGACGGACAAGAAAGTGATCTTATAAGGGTTCCTTTTTTACCTTTTGAGGTACGGAACCCTAACAAATCGAACAATAAAAAAAACATCCTTTTCATAAAAATACACCAATAGTAATAATAAAGGAGAACCAAAATAAATAAACCAAGAATATGTATAGTAAGACATGACGTCTAACGTCACGAATAGCTAAATATCCTAAAATATGGTACGGTTGACATCTGTCGGCCGTGCCACCGTCTTGGGGAATCAATCAGGCATATTATTTCTGATTGTTTTCGTCTTGCTAACGGTGAGTTTTTGCACAGGCACAACTAAGTAGCCAGGATCGTACACCAACAGTTTGCCCTTAAATACCAGCTTGTAAATCTAGATGTGCCATACTACAGGTATGTGTCCGACCTAGTTCTCAAGAATGGTCGGGCCATGCTGTATTAGGATCGATCCATTATCACGGACAGGACTATTAATTCCAGTAAGCCTGATATTGTAGTGATAGATAGATTTGAGCTCCGCGCAATGATTGTTGATATCCCGTTCCTCATGACGAGAATCGCAAGAAAGTTGAAAAATAAAAAAATAAAAATGGATTTATCTCACGAGATTGTCCCAAACTAAGCAGAGCTTGTACAATGGGTACTAGACAACTGATATAAATACATATATATTATACATAGAAATACCCAGACCAAATCAATCATGAAATGTTCATGCTCACAAATGTTTGACTTGAGCGGGAATCGAACCCGCGACCTTTGGAATAGCAGTCCGTTACACAATCCACTACGCCCCCCGGTCGTCATATCAATACTTACTCTATCCGCTACACACGTCCTTTACCCAAGTGTGTCCTTTCTTTCCAATTCTCGATGTAGTTCTGAATCGAGATTTTTTCCTAGAAAAGCCTTCCTCAAAAGCCGCCAACGCGCTTGTTACTCCTGAGTTGCAGACGTTCATGGGCAGCGGTAGTCACTTTCCATTAGGCGAGCCGTCTGCTCGTTTGAAACCTATATCATAAAATTAAAACCTATCTGTTTAGATGATTGCGCCATGTTCAGCGAAGGACCACACTTGGTCTGAGATGAAAAATTATCACCGACTTTATTCCGAATCAAGATAACACCTCAAGAGTAGAAAATAAAGAAATGAGGGACACTGTTACAATTTGTAACAAACTGTGTTCCTCATTTCTTTATTTTCTACTCTTGAGGTGTT